CCAATCCAAAGGTGAAACAAGCTCCTCTCAGTACACGACGAAAACGAAGTTGACTCCGGCAGCAGAATGCGTGCATGCTGCGTGGACATTGAAAGAGTGCTCAAAGCTCGGAGGGCAAAATGCATTGACGGAGGCATGCAAGCAAAAGACTGGCAAATGACGTAATCATCCAAGAACAGAGAAAGAACTGTGCAAATGCAAACTAAAGCTGCAAGGTGGCAACTGGAAAACAGCGTGTGAGGTGGCATGACAAGCTGCGGTCTTAGCAAACATCCTGCAGAATGCTCGCTTCCGTGAGCAACGATCCAGACGATGCTCAGTCTAGAGGATGGGATTCTTCTTGGCAGAACATTGGATTCTTGGAAATTCATTGGGAAATAAGAATACCAATAAATATTAAATGAAAATAAAAAAGAGAAAGTGTATTGGAAGATGAAACGTCAAGCCAAGAACCAACAAACCAACTGCGGAGACTTTGTAATTCAAGAGCTTCCAAAAAAAATCTTCAAAAAAACACCATTTTTATCTCTAACAGCAGTAAAAGTGCTGGGAAGCTTTCTTCCGGAAGGTCATCAAGCAACATCACAACCAAACAAAAACCAAGAAACTGTTGCTGACCAACCCTCCGTCTTGTCCGTGTTCACTTTACCTGCAAAATCTCCAAAAATGTCCTCTGCACGTCGTGGCTCCTCATCCTTCCCAACAATGCCCGTCGCAGAATGTATCGCACCATGGCCCGTGGCATGGCAATGCACCCGAGACGCGCCTTCAAGAAACGAAGTCGCCTTTGCATTGGAGGCGTTGCTGGCGCTCGTGTCATGCAATGACCACAGCTGCGCCGGCATAGAAACCGAGGAGAGCCACTGATGGGTGGAGGTGGAAAGTCGCAACCTCTCAAATCACCTTCCAACACCCCGCTTTGGGATGCACTGCTGCACATGCCCAAGAAGCGACAGCGTGTAGTTGAAGTACCGCTGGAATTAAAAGCAATTCGCCAGCTACGTATGGCTGCCGATTTTCTCACTAACCTTGCTTGTTCTGCTGACCGGATTAGTTGTCCAAGGATTGGCATAACTTGTGGGCCCAATCTTGAAACCCTGCAGTGATTAAGTGACCTTCTCGTAAGCTGGCTAGTGGAGGATAAAGTCTGTGTCTTTGCCAAGGAATGGACTCCGCAGTTGCTGGCTGGAATAACTTGGACTTGGAGTTGTCGTGGTACCAGAAGCTGTTGAGGCGTTGGTTGGATGCTTGCTCTCTTGAAGGTTTTTATTCGACTTCTTCGCAATGTCGGAGCCATCAAGGCTCCATAGGCTGGCCTGTGCACCAGCTGGTCTTTTGGAACACTAGAACGCAACAGAAACTTCATTTGTACAACGATTTTTTTGGCAAACTGGAAGACCAGCCCAGTGGGCGCCCCCGCGGAAACCTGGGCGAGCACTCTATCTGCCAGCAGGGCTGCGCAGCGGTTCTCAGTCCTTGCAGCTGCCCTTTCCACCTTTCCCTTCCAGTCGAAAGAAGGTGGTGCTGTGCAGTGTTAGCAAGTTTAGAAGGCCATTCGGACAATGTGGTGTTTAACCAAAGCCTTAATGGCACGGCGTGTAGAAGATCGGACGTGTTGGCGCCTATTTGTTCGACGTTGTCCAAGTTCTTGCCAAGCTTATTCTCAAGGGCTGGGAATCAAAAAAAGGAGTGGAAACATCTGCGACACCTTGATTAGGAGAGTAAGGGTTTTTTCCAGCCTTGGTTGGTCTTGCATCCGTTCTTGCTGTCAAGTTCCCACTGGCAACCACCATGGGGCGCGCGCTGGTCTTTCCTCTGCTGCGGGCCAGAGTGAGAGTTTGACTGCTGTCTGGTAGTCTTTCCCCTTGAATCGGTGGCTGTTGCTACTCGCAGGCTTCCTTCCTGGAAAACTGGCAGGGCTCTGCTGACTGCGGCTCCAGGGCACAGTTGTGCGCCTGGATGTTAGGAACTTTGGTCGAACTTCAATCATAGAGCCGCAAGTTGTGTTGGCTGTTGCTCGGAGTTGCTCCGGCGGGTGGCCAAGCGGAAGGAACAGGGAGGACGAGGTCATTGGGGATTTTGCATTGTCAGAGTTGTGACATGCGGTCAGTCTTGTCCACCACCAGGGCGACTAGCTCTGCATTTTTCGGCCGAGCTTGGCAGCGAGGAAGCAGGCGCTTCGTGATGGAGCGCGCTGTACTTCTTTTCGGAGTCTTTGATGGGCGTCGCTTGTGGCTCGGTCCAACTGCAGGACCGTTCCCAAGCATTTGTCAAAGCGGTGCTGGGACGCAAGTCACCCGGCAGGATATGGAGAAATTTCTCAAACTGCCGCCTGCGTCTTTCAACTGAGTTTTTTTTTGAAGCGAGCGCCTCTTTAGCAAACAAGGAACGGCAGTCTAGAGGATGGGATTCTTCTTGGCAGAACATTGATTCTTAGAAATTCATTAGGAAACAAGAATACCAATAATATTAAATGAAAAAAAAGTGCATTGGAAGATGAAACGTCAAGCCAAAACCAACTGCGGAGATTTTTTAATTCAAGAGCTTCCAAAAAAATCTCCAAAAAAACACAAGTTTTTTACCTCTATACTGTTCGCTTCGTTCATACAATTACTGAGTTCACTGCACGTATTCGTTCCACTTAAAATTGTGTTCTCTTCGTAATAATGTCATGAAGTGATTTTTTTCGTTTTTTTTCGTACGTTCACAAACCTTGAGAATGAAGTGCAAGAAACCTGCAAGTCAACTATTCTCTTTGTAGTCATAATATTCCAGCTTTTAGAGGAAAAGAGAAGGCATGAATCAGGGCTGGTTGACTTTATGCTTTTCAGTAACTGAAAGCCCGCGGCAATTAATTCTAATTTCATTCACTTCGTTCGTACAATTCTTTGCTTTCATTGCGCACGTAACACCTGGGCTGTTGTGTTATCTTCATGAGTCATGCATTAGAAACCCAACCTCTCTCAACCGCCCATCAATCTCTTGTTCTTCCAATCCACCTTTAGGACGTACCATTCATTCTCACTCTTGTTCCACAGTCTTGTTCACCCATCACACCTTGAGACCTCCAACTCTCATATCTTGGTCTAACCGTTCACACCCTTGCCTCATGCTGGCAACGGCACGTTTCAATGGCGCCAAGGGCATGGCGCCTCCCGAAGTTTCAGAATCGCCCGCTATGCAGAGCGCGCTCGCTGGCGTTCAATAAGAAGTAGTCGTCGGAGTAGTAGTAGTAGCAGTAGCAGTAGCAGTAGGAGTAGTAGTAGTAGTAGTAGTAGTAGTAGTAGTAGTAGTAGTAGTAGTAGTAGTAGTAGTAGTAGTAGTAGTAGTAGTAGTAGTAGTAGTAGTAGTAGTAGTAGTAGTAGTAGTAGTAGTAGTAGTAGTAGTAGTAGTAGTAGTAGTAGTAGTAGTAGTAGTAGTAGTAGTAGTAGTAGTAGTAGTAGTAGTAGTAGTAGTAGTAGTAGTAGTAGTTAGTAGTAGTAGTAGTAGTAGTAGTAGTAGTAGTAGTAGTAGTAGTAGTAGTAGTAGTAGTAGTAGTAGTAGTAGTAGTAGTAGTAGTAGTAGTAGTAGTAGTAGTAGTAGCAGCAGCAGCAGTGTTCGTTGCAGCAGCAGTAGTAGTAGTGCTGGTAGTGGCAGTTGTAGTAGTGGTCGTAGTCGCAGTCGAAGTCATCGTCGTCGTAAAAATGGAACTGGTAGTTTTGGGGTTTCAGGGTTTGGGGTTTAGGTTGAAACTTCAGATTGGTCCCAGCTTCCGAGTGAAAGGTTTCCCAGTAAACAAAGCGGCAGAGTGCTTCGCATCCCCATTTTGCCGTTAGGCAAAACATCCAAGTGAACACAAGACACAAAAACAAGAAACGAGGGAGATTGGAATTTAGACTAGTGTTCTACTTCTCCACTTATTCTCTACTTTTCGAATCATGAACTCAAGAAAGGGATGGAATTTAGATCTATTCTCTGCCCCTCTGATTTTCTGATAATGAACATATGAAGCAAACAAGAAACGAGGAGGGTGGAATTTAGAATAAATCTCACTGCTCTGATTTCGAATCATGACAAAAACAACAAACGAGGGGGGTGGAATTTGTGCTATTCTCGACTACCCTGCCTGTGGTTGTGACCAGTTTCGGATCGGATATCTTGGGTGTGTAAGAATTACCTCGAGGACGACGTGCAGTCTCTGTAGCCGAAACCCTCCCCGACACCCTTATGCAACAAGATCAACACCGGAAACCCGTAGCATCATCCTTTCGAGCAACCATGCAGGTTTGAAAATGAACTTGGTTGCAACTTGGGAGTTCTTACTCCTGGAATGATGGCCGTTCTCTTGGAACTAGCTGCAAAGGCGAATACAACAGCGGAGAACAGCCTCAGAAAAACCTTGTAAACAAATGTGAGTTCGTACACGAACAGCTTATAACATCCTGGATAGTTTCGTACAACATAGCATAGTTTGATTTAGCGCAGTGTAGTTTTGCGTCTGGATAGGCTTGCGGGTTGTAGAACGGGGTTCTCGTTGTGAAATGGGTGTTCTGGTTGTAAAATGGGGCGCACACATGGGCTGCTTGGGTTGGGATCATCTTCAAGGTGTTGGGTCTTGGGGTCGGGGCTTGTGTTGGCAGAGGCAACACTAACACCCCCCACCGCCCGCTGTGCACTGGAGGTGTTGCGACCCAGAGCAAGATGGAGAAGCTCAAGTTCAGTCTCAAGCCCACCAAAACCCCCAAAACACGGAGATTCGTCTTTGTGTAGGTCTTGGGAAAGGGAGGAGTGGCGGGAGGAATGGTTTCGGTTTTGTGGTGCTTAGTGGGCCTTGAGGGTTTAGTGAGGAAAATTGTTTCGGCCTAGGGTTCACAAAGTTCAGGGGTTTTGTGGGGCTTATAGGTTCTAGGTTTTTTTGCAGTCTTGGGCGGGGTTGAGGGCAAACTTTCCCAATCCCAAAGTTGCTATTCAGGCTGAAAATTTGCGAGGTTCTAAAAAGCCAATGCCAGCAGCGAGTCATCATGGCAGCAGCGGAATTGGCATCACCAGAGCATCCGGCATCACCAGAGTATCCTGAGTTGACAGCACCAGAGTTGGCAGCAGCCTGCATATTGTGCGGGCAAACGACAGATCTGGAAGAGCACTTTGTCGCTTGCTTCGAGCGACACTGTCCGGTCTCAACGCCTGTTGCGCCTGTTGCGCCAGTTGTGCCAGTTGTGCTTCGACAACCCGTCTTATTCCAGCTTGGCTGGTTATCCGCCAGCACGACAGTTCTAGTTCGCAACTATTTGGACCTCCCTGAGCACTGTATTTTGGCATGTGCCTCAAAGCCTGCGAACATGCTTTGTGACGATGAAGAGGCATGGGGCCAGTACGCCACTAGTTTGTGGGCCGCCTTGTGGGGGTCGGCCACCGTGCCAGATGGAAGCTGCGGTTGCCGTTTCAGTTCTCCCCAGCATGTTCATTTCATCAAGCCCAAGATGAAAGCACTGGGATTGTGGCACCTTCGGTCTTCCACAGCACTCGAAGTTGAAGTGAAGTCCTTGCTATGTGGTAACAAGAATGTACGATTAATCATGGAGCCGCATGCGACTGTTGCAGATTTACAGAACCGGCTCCAGGTCGAAACAGGTCTGGAAAAAGACACAATTGACTTAATCTACTCGCCGACGCACAAGGTGCTTTCCCATCAAAAGGCCCCAGCTACAGCGTATCTTTGGCTCTCATTTTGCAGAGAATCTTGCGCGAGGCGGAGCCCACCGCTTTTGGAAATGATGCTGAAGTTGTTCCCACGGTGCAATGATGGTTAGACGTATGTGCAGGCGAGATTATTGCACAAAATCTACGGTTTGGGCTTGCGCCCACGTGCATCTGTGCAGAATTTACATTTTCAGTAGGCTGTCGGAACCAGAGATTTTGTGCTTTACTCGTGTGCAGATCGGACTTTGCGGAATGGAGGTGACTCCACCCTCGGCAGATTTCACCCGCTCGCTGTTTGCATCAAGAAGCAACATGTCTGATGCAACGTATGCTGATTGAAGGAAACTTGACCGAAAGTGCACACTTCGTGTTGTGTCCCCAGAACATGAAGGGTTCTACAAATTGCAGGTGGGCACCCCAAGTATGAGGCTCCGTATTTTAATCGGAAGCCTTGATGTGGCATTCTGCAGATAAGGGTTGGTCATGTTGATCCTTTTATTTTTTTTCTTCATTCACTTGTGGGGGAATTTCCGAAACTTGGATCCCGCCTATAAGACCTCATACCCTTCGCCCAAAAACTCGCGTCGCAGGCTCGAGCTGCTGCTGCATGGCAGGATCAATAGGCCCAGTAGGCCTTTCCTTGTTTGTTTCCTTGAGGCTCATGACCTGTCTTGCACACAAAAATTCAATGGAGTGTGCCTTGCGCAGGGTGTCAGGTGCCCGCCGGTTCCTTGCTAGATTAGGGGGTTGAAAGGTTCCGATGATTTGGGAGGATTTAGTGATGCATAAATTCCATAAGTCAGGGAACACCTCCCCATGCTAAGAAACATCCTTCTCTTGAGTCAACACAAGAGCCTCAGATGCACGACACAAAAATAGACATTCTAAGCAACTGAGCCTGTAAAGTACTCCCCTAGCATGTTTGAGAGGCAAATCAGCGGGCGTGCTGTGTCCTCTTTGTCACCATTCTGTGAGTGCTCTCGCGCACCCAATGGGCTTCACTTCAGGAGGTTTCCTTCCTTTTGTACAATTTTGGAGGACTCACCTTTCCTGCACGCGACTTGCCGCGTGCCCTGAGTCTTGGGCCACAAGTTCGTCACTTCGGCTCTCACGTGGGGTATCGCTGGTACCCTGTTACGCTTGGAACGCATGGGCTTCGATGTGCTCGGCAACCTTTCTTTTTGTAAAACCTGCACTCGACTCCAAATCTCTCTCGCATTTCGCCGCCTCTTCCGCAGTTTGCCTTTGTCAAGTAGATCGGCTCCCCGCATCTGCGTACACGCTCTGACCTCTACAACTTCCGTCAGATGCCTACTCGTGAAGGTGAATCATAATTGTATATAAGTTGCTTAGTTTGCGAATATGGCCAATACGGTGCGTTATGCCCATTGCCCACTCTGTGCTTGGAGCGTGCTGATGGTGTTGGTGCTCCACGCTCCGTCGCTGGGGCTGCAGGTAGCGCTGCCACTGCTGCTGCTACCGTTGCAGCTGCCACTGCTGCTGTTTGTTGCTTGCTGCTTGCTGCTTGTGCTGTTCTAAGCTTTTCGAAAGTCACAAAAGTCTGCGTCGTGCAGTGAACGCAGCCGAAGACGTGGTGCAAATTTGTACAACAGTTCTTTATCCCCAGTGCAACTTGTGCTTTTCCTTTCACAAGCAAACAACAGGGCCTAGATGGAATAACATCGACGGAGGCTCCTTGTTGTGTATGCCTTTCACCATTTCTCTTGGATGTTCGCAGCCTTTGCCTTTACAGCTCGAAACTTGGGCTGGGCTCCGAAGATCTGGTGAAGGCCTCAGGGTCTGTGCAGGTGCGGCATGGTGCCGCTGTCAGTTCGAAGTTTTAGCTTCGGGCCGTCTGCCAAGTGCGTCCGCAAGTCGATGTATGACACGATGGGTACGCTGTGCGTTGATTTCATGTCCTCCCCCCAGGTCCGGCGTCGTCATCGCTTTTGAACTTACCGGGCTTTGAGGCTGAAGCCGCCCATGCTCATGGCATCTTGTATTGGTTCGGCCACTCGAAAATACTGACGGGGTGGTCCTGGATTTGTTTTCTGACCTTTGGGGACTTGTAAGAACATGGAAGCCTCATCCTTAAGAACACAAAACTACTTGCAGTCGAATGTTTAAGACGTAAATCTTGAATGCCCATTATGGGGCCAAAATGGAGGCTCCGAAGTTGCCCTAAGCGTGGCCATGAGACAATTTCAGGCCATGCGTGTGCTCGGTTTCCTCGCGGGCGTGGCCTCAGCGACAGCGGTGTCACCGAGTGCACCTCAGCTGGTGCTGGAATTGGGGAGCACGGTTCGAAGTCATATTTGAACCCCAAACCCTAGCTCAACCTGCTTACAAACTCCTACAACCTCAACGACCTTCCTCTCGGTGTAGCTTTGAGGTTTGCGGCAGCCACCCCGAAACGGCTCCTCGCCTGCAGCACGGTCACCATCATTCTCATTGTCATCATCATGAACATCTTTTATTTCCATTATGATTGCTTTGCGTACTACTATTTTATCATTATTGTGTTTATTGCTGCCATTGTTGTTGCGACAATGCAAGGCACTAATCATTGCTATTGCTGTATGATGATTAAAATCTTCATCGTCATCTGTGTGCTTATTGTTACGGTTTTCATCATGATTACCATTGCTAGTGGTAACGCAAAAGCACAGCAAATATACCATCGCAGCAAGAACAGAAAAAGAAAGCCTCGACGTGTCCCAGGTTCCGGACTGTGACAAGCCGGACCTCGGCTCCTGCGGCAATGCCTGCTGCGTTGCAGAGCTTTCCCTCTCAACCGCGCCTCTCCAGGCGTACACAGACACGAAGAGTGCGCTGATGAGCTTGCTGTCGGATGGCTTCAGCTACGTCACAGGAGGCGATCCCAATCCAGGAGACGATCTTCGACCTTACAATGTCACCAAGCCAAAGAATTTTAAGTTCATCTTCCAGGGCCGTCACGATGCCCCGAAGTACAAGGGCCCAAACGCAGACATCCTGGATTTCGCCATTTACGAGTCTGGCGCCGGCTCTGTTCTTCGAATGTTTTCTCTGAGTCGCATCCATGGGGCTTTGGGCGATCACGGCCAGAACTACAAGACGTTGGCCTTCCTGGCGCAAAAGTTGGAGTCCAACAGCAAGCCGACTCCCGTGCACGGCTGTGGCTTACCGGCTGCAGCAACTGTGCAGAGGGCCTCGCTTTTCTTGCAGCAGAGGAGTGTCCTCGACCTCAGCACACCACCTTCTTCAAGTGTTTGCGGAGCTTCTCCTACAAAGGTTCCGGATTGCGATAAGCCGGACTTCGGCTCCTGCGGCAATGCCTGCTGCTTAGCAGAGCTTTCTCTTTCCACCGCGCCTCTCCAGGCGTACACAGACACGAAGAATCTGCTGATGACCTTGCAGTCGGATGGCTTCAGCTACATCACTGGAGGCGATCCCAATCCAGGAGACGATCTCCGACCTTACAACATCACCAAGCCCAAGGGTTTCAAGTTCATCTTCCAGGGCCGTCACGATGCCCCGAAGTACAAGGGCCCAAACGCAGACATCCTGGACTCTTGGTTCCCCAGTGCTGTTGTTCTTGCGTTTTTTGGATAAAGATAGCAGCCAAGGCAGTTTGGGACTGAGGGCTATGGTTCATCATTAAGGAGTTATAGGGTCCCAAAGTAGAGTGTGTCCTGCTTTACATGTTTTAGTGGGTTCTACCCTCTAGTGAGATGGCAACAAGGAACGGAGGGGCAACCTTAAATCCCCAAATTGTGAATTCCCTAAGCAGCCTTGCCCAAGGATTTCGCAATCTACGAGTCCGGCAGCGGGTCGGTACTTAGGATGTTTTCGCTGAGCCGAATCCATGGCGCCTTGGGTGACGCTGGCCAGTGCCTTGCCCGACATTCTCCAAGTATCTAGAAGGGGGTATTGTTCTTGTCATTATAAGCATTCTTGACCATCAGTATTGCTATTGTTCTTGCTGATACTGTTCTTGCTGTCGTCGTTGTTATTGTTATCGCAATCGTTCTTGTTGTTGGTATAGCTAGAAACCCGAGCTCAGATCCGTGGATGTCGGGCCGTGAAGCCTAAGTCGAAACCCTAAAGCACCATTTGCAATACGCAGGAACTACAAAACGCTGACTTTCTTGGCCAAGAAGCTGGATGGATCGGAGAAGCCCACGCCCCTGTACGGCTGCCACTTGGTTGGTTTGGATGATACGACTACGTGTAGGATTCGGGGTCTCGGGCCTCCGTACCTGAAAAACTTGGTTGCTTCCATAAACACGGGCCCACCAGCAGGTTTGGGGCTTGCGGGGGAGGGTATGGAGATTCAGTTTGACACTTTTGGGGGTTTTGGGGGGTTCAGGCTTCAGGACTTCAGGATTCCGCGTCCCGCAGGGTTTTGGGGGTGCGTTAGAATCCGCCAACGTGCCCGAATCCACACCACCCATTCAGGCGGACTCGCGATCGACTCGGAGATCCAGGAATGTGTTTTTTTTCTTTTCTCAGGGATGTTTGTTTGTTGCAAGAGGAACTTTGAAGGGAGTGTTTAACTGAGGGCTGTCTAAGAAGGGAGTTTCTTCTTTAGGCCATACATTCTGCACTGCAAGGAGACATGCACTCGGGCCATAAGATGGAAGTTCCTCTAGAGTACACAATGCTTGTTCAGAGTCGAGGGTCTGTGGGTTCAGGGCCTCGAGTCTTGGGGGTGCAGCCGTGCAGATCACTGGTTTAATGCCCGAGGCCTCACGTTCAGGTCAGGCTTCCAGCGTCGAGCTGAGGCTTCGGCTTGGGGCTTCGAGTTAAGGCTTCAAGGCTAGGGCAGCTAGGGTTCATGTTTGCTTCAAGCTCATTGGAAAGTCATGTTTTCAGCGCCGATTTTTTTTTGTGAAAGGGGGTTGGCCTGTTTTTGGGTAAAATGGTTTATTGCTCTGATGAACGAGCTTGACAGGTTTTAATCTTATGTTTCTGTGCTCTGGAAACCATTTTAATTTTCCGCCGGGGATATTGCAGTTCTTGTGCGGCTTCAGGGTTCAGGATTTCTAGGTGTTGAGGGCTCCACAAGCCCCGTGTGCAATATTTGCTATCTCCAGCTCAGGAGTACGTCCAGTAGAAGCTGGCTGAGGCAGACAGACTACATCGGAGGTTGCGGTATGCCTGGAAGGGAGAAACCCAATATCCTTACTTATTCTGCACCGGTGAATGGCCTGAATGTCACACCAAAGGCAGACGTCGTCTCCTAAGCAGCAAGCACTAGCTCCAAGAAGTGCAGGGCCAGAAGGCCTGGTGATCCTCCGCCATATCATATCCCACCATCCATTGCGCTGTAGCAACCATATGTGCTATGTGCAAGCGAAATCCCCAAAAGTCTAGTCCAATGACGCAGGTTCCTATATTGCTCCCTATACCCTGAAAGTATAGTGCATGCTGCAAGCTCCCTACAGCACGGTCAATTTTCACCCAGCTCCGGAGCAGAAGCTGCAGCAGGGTCTCTGTGTGTTGGTGCTTGAATTTTGCACATGCAGCCTTCAGATTCAGAGGTTGTACAACTTGTGCAACCGCGCAGCAAAAACAACCACATCATCAGCAAGGAGCGATCGGAGCCTGTGCTTGGCTGGCAACGATCCAGACACCAATCGGAGCAGACAGGCGCCTTGCTCGAAAACGCGCGTCGGGGGCGGTAGCTGGTGAAGCGGAGTCTTACTTTCACACCCAAGCCCTAAGCCCGAAACCCTGACCCCTAGGCTCTGGGTTTCGGTTTGTAATGGCTTCTTTCAACGCATGCTCGGCCTGAGCTGTACACAAGGTGTATCCCGTCGTGAAGGAGTACACAATATTGGTAAAGCTTTTGCGTTGTGGGAGTCTTAGAGCTCAATAGGGGACCCTTGCCGATGTTTGGCCCCCATCCCTCCACAGCCAGCACACATGCAAGCCAGATGCATTATCATACATTTGGCACGGATTAAAAAGTTCCAGCGATGTCCAGCCATAGCCCAAAGCCAGGACAGATCGCGCACCCGAGCCAGATGCAGCTTCCTCCAAAACTGCATGTGGCAACGTTTGGCAACGGTTTTGGGCAACTTCCCGCTTCATTGCGTTCAACAGAATCTCGGCCAGTTTTTTCTAGTTCTTTTTTTGCGAGGTCTGAAACTGGAACGCATGATGAACACAAGCCAGCTGCATTCTGCAGGCTTCCAAAAACGCATGGTACCGTTTTGTCCGAACTCTCGCGTCGTCATATTCGAAAGCTTTGCTTGAAGTTTCCAGCTGTTCAGGCAACTGCAAGCCTACATGTGGCACACGTATCATATGAAGTTAACCATTGTTCATTCTCGTATTTCTCTCGTCCGTTGAGTTTGCATGTGCTCGCCGGAGCACTCCGAGCCCATCGCGCATTCGTAAGTTTCAGACGGTTGCTGCTCACAAGCAAACTTCACTCTCTTGAATGTTTTTTTTTCATGGAATGCAGCCGACAACATATGAAACAACAAGAAACAAGCGTGCTCGGCGAGAGCCCATTGCAATTCCCCCGGGTGAGGGGGCCCCTTGGAAGAACCTCGTTGGCTGTGGCTGTGGCCCTTCTGAATTTTCCTGCTGCTCTCGCGTTTCGGTTTCGTCGTGGCTCTCTGTTCCTTCTGTTCTGGATTTCGCTGTCACCCCTGAGGCTGCATAAGGAACGAGACAAGTCTCCTCTTAAGACATCCTACAGTCAAAAGGGGTACCGACCCGGCTCTCAAGCGACCTTCCCGAAGTGTCACCGCAACTCTTGGCCATTTGGATTGCAGTTGCCAAAGCAAAGTCGCAATTTCCGGTAGGAGCTCGCTATCCGCAAGTGCACTTACGGAATCCAATAGCTAATGTTACAATGTTTGCCATGCTGAACACTTTTCAACGTGCTTTGAAGTGCATCTTGTGCATGTCTCGCGCTGGTGCATCTGTTGCAATTGCTGCCTGGCTGGTGTTTACACATCTCGGACGCTGCTGGGTAAGCTGTCCAGCTGGAGGAAAAAAGGTTCCCTTGGCTCTTCGACCTGCACGAATGCGTGCAGCATTGAGTGCAACGCAAGAACGCCAAAGCGCAGACGATGCAGTGAATCGCAGGGAGTGGCGGGTGGGCGCGACTTGGCCAGCAAAGCGGCCGTCCTGGTGTTGACGATTCGGCATGATTCGCCATGATCCCCCAAATAGCTACATCGAGCTGCATGGAGCTCCTGCGTTGCAAGGTGATCGGGGCCGGTGTTGCCGGCTTGGTGTGCGCACGTGAACTCCGGCGACGTGGTCTTGGTGTGGAGGCCCACAAATGGCCCACACGCTCCAGATTCAGTAGAGCTACCCGGTAAAGCCCAGTGCTGTAGACTGGCATCGAAACTGGCTAGATAGCTTGCAGCGTGCAAGCTTTACATGCGAGATCTCTGGCCATGTACTAGTGCTGCATCGGCCAGTGTTGTCCTGTTGTCCGTTCTTGGTTGTTGTTGGCAAGCCTGGATGCCAGCTCACTGTGCGCTGTGCGCTATGTAGTCTAGCATCCAGGTCTTCGAAGCATCGGATGCAGTTGGTGGACGAGTTCGCACCGATGCTGTTGCCTTGCCAGGTACGGTGGTGATCGTTGATGCGTTCCTGCATGAAAAGTTGTGCGTAGGCCGCTTTGTGGCGTTATGTTTCTTTTTTTATTAGACGCACCGTGACAGCCGTCCAGGTCAGAAAAATCCTGGAAGGCCTTTTCTTCTAGACAGGGGCTTCCAGATCCTGATCGAGGCCTACCCAGAGGTACGGCGACAGTTAAATCTGAAACGCTTGGGGCTTCGAGGTTTCGCTCCTGGCGCCGTGCTGGCATTTGGGGATGGAGACTTCAGGATTGTCGCCGATCCCACGAGGAGCCACCCCAAATACATTTTCAAGACCCTCTCAGCCGGCATTGCGAGCCTGCGAGATCTGTGTACTTTGGTCTTCCTGCGTCTCAAGCAGGTGTTTCTGGAGAAGCCGTATGCAGCGCTAGAGCGCAGCTCAGTCACAGGGGCGAAGCGACTCAGCACAGAAGAATTCTTGCTGGATTCCTTGCATTTATCTTCGAATCTGGTAGAGCGCTTTCTGCGCCCATTCTTCGAAGCGATTTACGTTTCCCCACTCAGAGAGCAGTCATCGGCCTGCTTTGAGTTTGTACTTCGCATGCTGGCGGATGGTGGGACTTCGCTACCTTCGAAAGGGATGCAAGCTATCCCAGAGCAGCTCGCCGAAGGACAGGTGGTGCATCTGGAGTCACCGGTAGCTGAGATACGCCGCGACGGACTCCGGCTGGCTTCTGGTGAATGGAAAGACTTTGATGCAGTTGTTGTTGCCGTTGATTGGCCTGCGGCTGAGAAGCTTGTGCCAGAGGTTTCGGCTGCTCGCGCGACATCCAGCAGCACTTGGTACTTTGCACTTCCGTCGCCTCCCCCAGTCTCTGATCCCATCATCATCCTCAATAGCACGCTGCGCGAGGGTGGTGAAGGTGAAGAGTTTGCACGCATTGTGAATGTCGGCTTTCCGTCGGTTGTTCAGAACACCTATGCGCCCGAAGGCTGGGATCTCGCTGCAGCTACAATTCGCGGACGTTCCGATGTTGAGGAGGGCTGGGTGCGGCAAGAGCTTGCGGCACTGTTTGGGGAGAGCTTGGAGAAGTGGAAGTTGTTGCGAGTTTATAACCTTGGCTTCCACCAGCCACAGCAGACGCGGAGGCTTTGGCCACCTCGTGATCCTCTCATTGCTGAGAAGGGGGTGTATGTCTGCGGAGATCACTGTGCCGAGCCGACCTTGGACTCAGCCATGCGATCGGGCAGACGGGCTGCCGAAGCCATCGTGCAGGTGGGATTCGGCGCTCTTTTTTTGGGGGGTTCCTACAATTAGGATAATGCCATCCTGGGGTTTTTTGAGGCTAACACTCCATTCGGGTCAGCTGGCAACCCTCATCCCTGAACTCAGCCTCGAGAAGCTATTTCCTTAGGTCCTCCTAACACGTGTAGTAGAGAATTTTTATCAGCCACGCCCCACCGGGCCTCTGCGATGCCAAGTCACATGGTCACCCAGTACTTCAACGCCCCAACAAGCTCAAGCTAAAGCCCCTGAACCCGCCAATGCCAAAGTCTGAGAACCCTGGGAGGCAATGCCATAGTTTGACTCGGACCTGCCTCGAGAGACATGAAATCTCGGTCCAGCTGAGCCCCGAGATGCCCCCGACCTGCCTGTTCTTGCGCAGCATGTGGGGTTTGGACTCGCGTCAGCATACTCAAAGCTGCTTTCCTTGATGTGCAGAGGACATTTTTTTTGGCAAGGCCATGTATGGAGCACGGATATCGCAAGTGTCCAAGTGTCATGCACAGTCAGCAGGGAGCATTCGAGAGCAGGAGTCACGTGAAGCATGCACTTTCTGGCGATAGGGACTCCGACATGGGGTCCCGAATTTCGGAAGCCTGCTGGTAGCCCCGCTGCTTTGTCTGGGCCATGGCGGGAAAGCAGTCCCATATGTCGCTGCCAACATGTGGAGGCGTGGAGGGGGAGCGACCTGAGTTTGTGCCATGACCGTGGATCCGAATCGGATGAACTCTTTGACACGCCACGCCAGGGACTACAAGGCAACCGGCCAAAGCCTCAGTAGCGTGCATCTTTTCGTCCTTTGCCGTCCCACGGCACTGCCAGTGCCCCCGGTAAGGTTCTCGGAGCCGGCCTGAGAAACATGTGGTTCAGACGACTTCGGACCAGGATTCCACTCGTAAGTTCCTGCGAATTTTCACCCCTGGAGACTCATGGGCTTTGACAGGACCTTTTGCACCTGGACCCTGCTTACAGGCTCGACGGCAAGGACCTGCAGATCCTTGGCTGCAGCTAGTGCAGTGAGTGCGCTACATTCTTTTTCATCCCGCCGATCAACCGAGATAAGTGTGTGTCACACTAAGGGCAGCGCGGTGGCACGCTCACAGAGAGGGCGTGGCCTCTTGGCGTAAGTTTCGTGCTGAGAGGTGTTTTGAGTCTTCACACACACAGCCGAAAGTGAACAACTTCAGGCAAAAAGCTTAACCCTCCCAACCAGAAACCCCTGAAGGTCAGGCTGTCCCGGCTGATTTCGGCAGCCGGGCGTTGCGGTGGCTGGAGGGAGGCCTTGTCTGTGCTGGAAGGTCCGGTGCTGAGCGGTTTTCGAGTCTAGAGTTTAGGAGCTCGAATGTCTCTCTGTCTCTCCGTCTCTCTGTGTCTCTCTGTGTCTCTCTGTGTCTCTCTGTGTCTCTCTGTGTCTCTCTGTGTCTCTCTGTGTCTCTCTGTGTCTCTCTGTGTCTCTCTGTGTCTCTCTGTGTCTCTCTGTGTCTCTCTGTGTCTCTCTGTGTCTCTCTTTGTCTCTCTGTGTCTCTCTGTGTCTCTCTGTGTCTCTCTGTGTCTCTCTGTGTCTCTCTGTGTCTCTCTGTGTCTCTCTGTGTCTCTCTGTGTCTCTCTGTGTCTCTCTGTGTCTCTCTGTGTCTCTCTGCGTCTCTCTGTCTCTCTGCGTCTCTCTGTCTCTCTGTGTCTCTCTGTGTCTCTCTGTGTCTCTCTGTGTCTCTCTGTGTCTCTCTGTGTCTCTCTGTGTCTCTCTGTGTCTCTCTGTGTCTCTCTGTGTCTCTCTGTGTCTCTCTGTGTCTCTCTGTGTCTCTCTGTGTCTCTCTGTGTCTCTCTGTGTCTCTCTGTGTCTCTCTGTGTCTCTCTGTGTCTCTCTGTTTCTCTCTGTGTCTCTCTGTGTCTCTCTGTGTCTCTCTGTGTCTCTCTGTGTCTCTCTGTGTCTCTCTGTGTCTCTCTGTGTCTCTCTGTGTCTCTCTGTGTCTCTCTGTCTCTCTCGGTCTCTCTCTCTGTCTCTCTCTCTCTGTCTCTCTCCGTCTCTCTGTCGCTCTCTCGGTCTCTCTCCGGCCCTCTGTCTCTCTCTCGGTCTCTCTCCGGCTCTCTCCGGCTCTCTCCGTCTCTCTCCGTCTCTCTCATTCTCTCTCCGACTCTCTCTCTGTCTCTCTCTGACTCTCTCTCTGTCTCTCTCTGTCTCTCTCTCTGTCTCTCTCTCTGTCTCTCTCTCTGTCTCTCTCTGTCTCTCTGTCTCTCTGTCTCTCTGTCTCTCTGTCTCTCTGTCTCTCTGTCTCTCTGTCTCTCTGTCTCTCTGTCTCTCTGTCTCTCTGTCTCTCTGTCTCTCTGTCTCTCTCTCTCTCTCTCTCTCCCTCTCTCTCTTTAGTACAAACATAGTACTGCCGTAGTACAAAAATGCTACCTCTATGGGACTCTGCACTTGTATGCGCGCGCTTTTTTGGGCCCCCTACCCCCTTTCGTACGCGCGCGCTTTTGGGCCCCCCTCGCCCTCCTTCCTTTCCTCTTCCCGTAGTACAAATGCAGTACTGCACGTCCGAAAGCCCCTGCAAACTAACGGAATTCTGCGCGCGCCAAAACCCCGCAAGTATCGTGGTAACGCAATTCCGCGCGCACCAACACCTCGCAAATATGGTGGTGACGGAATGTGGTTACTGACTTCTAACAGGGCTTCGCCTTCCCGAACTCTATAGTTTTCAATGTTTCTGTCTTTGTCATGTGCAGAGGTGCGCGTTTCTCCGTCAGATCATGGAAAACCACTTCATCTTCGGCTCTTGCGCGTGTCCGTACCGCGCATCCGTCCGTCCGTTCGTCCGCCCGTCCTTCCGTCAGCCCGCCCGTTCGTCCGCTCCGTTCGCCACGCTGCTCCGTTTTACCCGCCGCGGACCATACCGATTTACACATACGCGCGAACATATATTGTCACAGAATGCAAACATGACATGTGGGGTTATTCTTTCCCATAGCCTTCTTTTTAGAGGTTGGGCGGTGGACCATGTGTGACATGTGGGTCGATTGTTGTATTGGTTGGGGTATCAATCTCGTGGTGTTGAAGTTCAGAGAATGCTGTACCGGTTTACGGCTTTGCGCTCTGCCTGTGAGGAGGACCTCATGTCAAGTTGGCCTGCCTGGAAGGTCAAGCCTACGCCAGCGTTCGAAGGGATGCCTGTAGTTTCACTTCAGCGATGCAGCCTTGCGTGCGGGGGCCCAGTAAACATAGGGCATGCTGGGGCCAGATATGGGCGCAGCTTGCAGTTACAGTGAGCTCGAGAGCCCAAGTGCCCCAAAGCTTGCCAGGTGGTTGCAATCGGCGGTGATCACCCGCAAAATTTTTCAGAGGTGCAAGAACTTCAGTGGACAGCCGCGCTGGCCACGGATCTGTCGATGCGGCAGGCCGGCATTATGATCTGCCCTCAGAGATGACTCGTTGTTTTCAGTTAGGGGTCTTTAGATGAAACTGGTGGGCAGCCTCCCCAGACAAAGCTTACCAACCAAACTTCTCACGCTTGTACCTAAGCACCCTAAACCCAACGATGCTTGACCCTTCCTGAGAAGAAGATGTGACAAAGTAGATCTCGAGAGGTTAGGTTGGGTTAGGTTAGGCTAGGCTAGGCTAGGTGATGTTAGGGTAGGTTGGTTAGGGTAGATTAGGTTAGGTTAGCCTAGGTTGTTTAGGTTGCATCACCCTATGTTAAGTTATGAGGTTGGGGATGGCTTGCTCGAATCCTTTTGACAGCGGCTGGCGGTGGGGGGGGGGGGGGGCGAGGTACTGTTATCTGGAAAGAACAAGTTGTCAACGGGCAGGCATGAAGGTTTGTTCAGGCTGGTCTACGCTGAAAAGTCAAGGCGTCGCCCCAGAGTCTCCAGGGTGTTGGGTCTGGGGAGCACTGCGAAGCTTTGAGACCCTCCCCCTGGGAACCCTCGAAACTGCAAACTCCAGATCCGAAGCCAGGAAAAAACCCTTTGAAATCTTCTGAAACTTAGAAAACCTTGAGCCCAAACCCTTAACCCTAAACACTGCATCAAGAGCAAAGGCCGGACTCCATCGCCGCCAACACCCTCATCAACGCCCCTTGGGTTGCATAGCGGGGGCTTGTTCTTGCTTTTGGACGCCACGACCCTCTTGGAGCCACTTCTCCGCCAGCTTTCAGGATGAGCCCTGAAGTTGGGCGGGGCGGGGATGTTTTTGCACGGGTGAAGGTGGACCAGCAGCATCCTGATGACCTGTTCTCCTAAATTGATAAATTGGGGCCTTTTTGGGGCGTCCCCTTCTTGCACGTTCCAGTACGGCTCCATACATGACAACTTGCGTGCGCAAGGCTGCCACACCACGTCCAGCCGGCACGGGGCTTCCTGCTAGGTCGTGTCACGTGGCAGTGCAACGTTCAGGCCGGATCTCAGTTTGGCAACTGGCCCTTCGCCCTCAACATTGTCGAGTCCTTGTGCCAGGGCCCTGACAGCCTTCCGTGCGTGCAATGGAGCTCGTGGGCTTTGGCTGTTGCATCAGACCATGACCGTCTTTTTTACAGCTTTAGCCTACTAACAACCATGTCTTTGACTGGTTCCGACAAGCTTCTCTGTCCTGCCGACATGCAAGGTGAGACACACGGAGCTTTGGAAGACCGTCGCGTTCTTGGCCTAGAGGTGCCGCCCTGCATGAGGGTTAAACTATGGTCCCTACAGTCTACGGGGCCCAGCGCCTAGGAGTTTTGTGTATGCGAGGTTTGGCTTTGGTGTGACTAGGCACTGGCTTATTCCTACTACGGGACTCTCGGTCACGTCCCGTGTCCGCGCTGCCTCGGTCCCGCGTGTTAAGTGCAGAACTGTCAGAACTCAGAACGCTCTCGGAGCTTGACTGGTGCTACTTGCGACGCTGTCGCAGTCTTTCGCTGGGTCGACACTTGTATACTTTTTGTGAATGAGCTCCTGAAAGCATGCTCCATCGCTTCGTGCACGGCTGGCATGGGATTCGGGCTGTACAGGAAATTTGAATTACCCTGAACCCCAAACCCTTCGTATCCATTTTCTAGATTTCGGGTTTGGTTTTTGAAGAAGCGGCCATTAACATTATGATGTTGAAAAGGGGCTCCAGGAACCGTTAAGTTCACAAAGGCGAGTTCGCCCCAGTCTCTGGGCCGCCTTCCAGCTATGTTGCAACCCTAAACCCTAAACCCGAAACCCTAAACCCTAAACCCGAAACCCTAAACCCGAAACCCGAAACCCCGAACATCCAGTCTCTAAAGCATCCTGGCCAGAAAGCCCCAACCCTCAACGGCAAGGCCCAGCTTAAAACTCCACCAGCCTAACGAAACCCTAGACGAACGCTAAACCCTAAATCCCAAATTGACCCTCAACCCCCCTCAACCCTAAACCCTGCACCCTAAACACCAAACCCTAAACACCGCTTCCTAAACCTCCCGCAAGCTTTGCGCCTTGCCGAGAGCACGTGCTTCCGCAGCTCGAGTTTGGCCCCACCAAAGTCCGGTGCGGCAGCAAAGTCCCATGGACAGGCCGGAACGTCCGTGTGAGGGTTTAGGGTTTAGGGTTAGAGACCATCAGCTGTGGCGGCCCCTTGCTTTTCAATTGGAGCCTACATGTTTGCGTGCTCTTGTCAGAGTGCGGAGAATTGGGAAACCCCCAGAGGTCCGCAATTTAGAGGAATTGCCCGGATGTTCAACACGAAGTCAACTGCCACAACAACTAGCATCCGAGAAAGTCCACAACCTAAAGCCCGCAAGGTCAAAAACCCACAGCCATCCCCATACGCCCCGACGTGCAAAACATTAGTTTGAAAGGCAATTTCAACTAAGGATCTCAACAGGAAAAGCAGAACATCTAAGCCCTTAGACGTTATAAGCCTGGAATCCTAGATCCTCTAAACCACAAATCTCAACCCCAAACCCAACAACATGCCTCAAGCGACATGCTGCATGTTTCTTCTCCTGAAACCCCGGTGCTTCGAGGCAGGTCGCTACACACTTCTGAACTGTCAAACCTTGCGCCTACCGAAGCTCACGTGATCTTGGCTTTGGTACGAAAACCTGTGGCGCTTCAAAAGAACATTGAATGACGCACCTTTACCCTTGCCATCGAGTCTCTAGGACGGGTTGGTTTAGGGTTCAGGAGCCACTTACAGGCCTCATTTGCCTTGTACTGCCCAAAGGCAACCAGCGCGTCGTGGATTTGGTGAGTTAGCGGTGATATTGGTTACGTTAGTTTTGGTGGGGTTTGATGGGTCTGACAGGTGCCTGCTGGCATGGCGTTGGGGTCAAGAGAGGAGCTCAGGCCGTTGGTGTTATTCGTGCCCGTGCGCAAATTGGTAACATTCTCTCTACGCCCAAGGGATTCATGTTGCAAATCGTATGCAGACTTGTGGTTTATTGTTTCGGCGATGGTGTGCATAACTTCCGGGCCAACATTCAAGGCAGATTCAAAGAAGTCTGCACAAGTCTACAGCTGCCGTGCGTGCTGGCAGAGGCCGTTGGGAAGGTTACAGGCTGTTCCGGTATTGTATCTTGCAGCCCTGGCACTTTTTGGGTGCTGCGGGTTCAATGATAATGAGATATGGAACCCTCACATGGACCCGCCTCTCCATGCTTGCGAGGCTGTTCCTACACGAAGCTCGTCACACAGGCTTCAGGCTTTTTGTTGACCGTTTTTTCAGCATCAGTGGGGAGTGTATCTTGCATCTTTGGGGTGCTACTCAAGGACTACCATCCGCGATTTGCAGAGAATTCAGAGCTCGCGGCACGTTCAGCGCTCTTCCTGGTGCTGTGCGGCCCCTGAGTCGCATTATCGTTCGAGCTCCAAAGACTCCCTCGGGTCACCTGAATTCCTAAACCCCTAAACTCCCCTAAAGCAGAGCATGGCTGAGGCCTTCCCTTCCTCGTCCCCGAGGGAGAGATCGAAAGCCTGGATGCCTTTCTGAAGACAGGCCCAAGGGCCCAAGGGGGGGGGAGATGAATGAGAAGGTTACAGTTAGGGTAGAGGGTTGGAGCCCTTCCCCCCCCCGGAAAAAAAATCCCCTCACCCCCTCCATCCTTGTATGGGGGCTTTTTCAGAATGCCGAGGCCTTACTCCTCTCCCATGGCAAAACAGGGCCCAAGCAGATGCTGGACCAATTGGGCAAAACTTCATCTCCCTAAACCCCAAAACCCTGTATGGCCCAAAGGGTCATTCGTTTGGAAGCAGATGTTCGGGCGAGGGAAGTCATGGCTTGGGGGCTGAAGCGCGCGTCTGGAGACCCCAAAACGACGAGGCCGCTGTTCAATCATAAGGCTTTCGACCTGAACTCTCAAGAATCTGCAATATACAGTGGCAAATTCATTGTCTTCGCCGGCTTCTTTCTACTTACCCCCGTGTTTCACTGTGGTTCATGGAGGTCCTTCCCGGGCAAAATGAAAATTGACATGCTCTGGACAGCTTTACTAGTATCAAAGTGGTTAAGTTAGCCCGTGGGCCCAATATAGTTCTGTTAATAGGCCCGCGGTAGAATATTAAGGGTGAAGAGAGTAGGGTTTTGGGCTCCCTTGGAAATCAAAATCGTGAACGCCACAACACTATGATTATCTTATATCGGCCCCAGAATTGTAGTTTTTGTAATAGGGCCGCACTGAGTGGATTAATTTATATGACAATGATATCCTAAGTCTATTGTTGGCCGGGGGAAAAGAACAAAGGCGCATGAGCAAAGCCAAGGGAACACACGAATGAAAGGGAAAAAAAAGAATGAACTTTGATGGGTTTAGGAAGTTTGGCTCGGCTCTTCAACTTTCAAGCTCCAAGCCCTAAAGTACGAGCATCCTGGCTCCTGACGCATGAGGTTTCTACAATGTTGGCGTGGTGAGCTTCATCGCCGTGGCCCTACTCTGCTCGTGTGCTCTTCAGTGTTTGAGATGTATTTCGGGATTCGGGATGTTCGAGTATCCGGAACCTCACCCCAAGGTTCTGCACCTCAAGAGGAACTTGGGTGCAACCATGGCCGCGACAACCAGTGGCCTACGTGGAGTTCTGCTTGCCGCGGCTTAGCTTCAACGTGCCTTATGCTCATGCTGTTCCTGCACAGTTGAGATGCGTTGTTCCTGCTCCCTGAGAAGGTGTGCAATGCATGGTTATTGTTTGGCTTGTTTCCCGACGGCTACACAAATGATGCAGCTGGTCTAAACACAGCAGCATTTTGCAAGCTGCTGTGGATCCGGGAGTTGATGGTCCGGGGCTGATTATAGGGTTCCTGCATCAAGTTGAGAAAGGCACTGCCAAACCCCCCCAACATGGCCAGGCCTTGAACCCGAAATCGATGGCTTTATTTTGTTTTATCAGCTGCTACTGGTAGCCTCGGAATGGCAGCCTCCAAGGCGCCGGACTGGGTTTGGTGGGTCGGCCTGCTGGAAGGGATGCTGTTTGTATCCTTGCTGGCAGCCCGGTGGCAGTGGCTTTAGGGTTCTGTGATGACTGTGATGAAGCTGCTGTGGCTGTGCTGGTCGGAAGAGGCACTTTGCGCAGCAAACCGTTGAACTTTCCGGACCATCTGCTGGGATTTCTTCCTGGGGGGGGAGCTTTGGCAACAATGCCCTCATCATAGTCTCACATATCGTCTCGTCACGGGGAAGAGCCCTGCAGCATCTGAGCTTTCTCAAGGCATCCGAAGTCTTCCCTTGGCTCTGCCAGCACATGTTACTGCAAAGCCTTGAAAAACCACCCCCCAAGAGCGCTTCTTGAACGGGAAGCCCTCCCTGGCCCTTATCATCCACGTGGGAGTTTTTCAGGCGTTCCTCAAGTTCGCCGCTCGGCACTCTGGTGAAGGGCAGGCCCGGAGAGTGGGTTTAGTGCGTTTAGGGAGCCTGCCCTGATCCCCTCCACAAAAGGGGGTGCCTATGTTTTGAGGTGATTCGGTCTCTTCTTGATCCCATGTCAATCCGGGTTCCCCGCGTGGCACAAGAGTTAGAGTCCAGGTTTCCGCGGCACCTCTTTGGCCTCTTTTGGGATTGTGTCGCGTTTTGGGGTTTAGGGTTCAGGGTGCTGGAGCGCCTGGTGTGCACTGTGCAGCCAAGGACACCGGCGCGGTGATTTTCAGCATCAAGCTGTTTGTCGGCTACTGGAGCCTTCCCTAAATCCTGGACCCCAAAGACCACTTTCAGGAGCCAAAGCTTCCTAAACTTTCTAAAGCTTCCTAAGCCCAAAGCCCGAAGAATGGGAAGTCCACGCCAAAATCCCACTTCCCTCAGACCTAGCCCATGGGTGTTTGGGGACCACGCGGCGCGCGAGTTGCGAGAGACTTGCAACACACACAACGTGAGTCGAGAGGGGCGAAATTCCAACAGCTTAAGTGGAAAAGGATCTCACACGTCTCGGTAAAGATCCATATGCCCGTTTCGCATGAAACCCGAAGCTCTACAGCTGTTTTGTGACTAGGAAACTTGGGATGTCGGAGGTTTGAGTGCTCGGATCGAGGCCTGGGCGCTCACGGTACCGGGGTAATGGGTTTGCAAAGAATGATGCGACCTGGATGCCTCCTCCCCCATGACTTGCGATACCTGATGAAAACGACTAAGATGACCCCCCGGCCGAGGATTCAGCAGCAAGATACCCCTCGGCATAGGATGTAACAGCAGGTGCACTAGAGAGCCGAGCCTACAGGGCCATCA